GGCATATTTTCGCTTGTAAAGAGCAAGTATATTGTAAAAGAATAGATGATGTATAATTTTTTAAATGTATAAAAAAATATTTACACATATGCTTTATATATATGTATCACATGCCTAATATGTGTGTGTGTGTGTGTGTGTGTGTGTGTGTGTGTGTCTGTGTGTGTGTGTGTGTGTGTGTGTGTGTGTGTGTGTGTGTGTGTGTGTGTGTGTGTGTGTAGATTTCTAACCTCCGACTGAATGTTATGCTGTTTTCTTATAGCTGCTTTATAGCTGGCACATTTGTCGTTTTTATAACATAAACACAAGATAAAAAGCTAGAAGTGCAACAACGTTGCTGTTTTACTAATTTCAAATCAATCCATTTCTTGAATAACAATCGATTGTTATTCAAGAGATATGTGGCTCTGTTCGCGTCACGTTGCTTCTCTACGTCTGTGATACCTCATCAGATAAAGACCAGATTCATACATACAATTAACTAGATGCAAGATCTAGAAAATTATTCGCATATAACGAAAATGAACACTCATTTTTTACATTTAAAAAACTTTATATATAAACTACTTTATATACAACTTTATAAATATTATAATATACTAACTATAATATACTGTGCTGTTAGGAAGCTAAAGGATAGATTTCAAACTGTGCTTTGTGCGATATTACAGATACTTGCAGTCATAGGCCTGTTTTTTATTCCCATACTAGACTACACTCGAATTTTTTTTTGCTTTCATTAAATATCAAACATAATTTCATTTTAAGTTCCACTAGCGTACACTAGTTCAGTTATAGAAAACAGACCTCGTGTATTTCACCAACAGTAAAATAATTATCCCAAACTTACTCTTTTCGATGAACGATAGATTGAGGGAATACCAGATGACTGCACTGTATTTATATCTCCTATATAGAACATCGGTCTGCTTGCATTCCTAAGACCCTGTAAAAGAAAAAATCCCGTTATCAAGCGGAACAATTTGTAATTTGAGATGGTTATAAAGAGAATTTACTTGGTAACCATGTTCCAGTTCAGTGTAAGACATGACAGATTTGGTCTCATTGATAAAACAAATACCTGTTTCACGTGTTTATGTCAGATAACGTCCTGTGCACTGAAACTAGTTAACCGTGTTAACTTATATCAATTATTATTATTGCACTAATTATCAATCTGTTAATATCATTTATAAATAGGTGCGAAATACTATTTGAGAGATGTGCGAATTAAGAAAAAAAAGAACTGTCTTGTTCTTTTGATCTTACAGGCTCTTCCCTCTCACTTGAATTTTTAACGAGTGTCAGCGAGTATTCTTCAATGTTTTTTTTTTCCAGTGATAATTTACAATGACGTTTACAAGAACGTCCTTCCTCAGTGTTCGTTAAGCGATGATGTGCGTCGCTCGATGCGTTGTTTTCCTAACGAGCTGTAACAGAAAGCAAATATTTGCGGGGAGTTAGAAACGGGTAACGATTTATATATCCATCGAGATAACTGCGTTTGTAATACCCGGCTAATTACAAACAATAGCGTCGAGTATTTGCCTTACTCCGATTTAATCAACGCGTTGGTGAAGTGCGCGCCATGCAAAACGGCCGCATGAATTCGCCAGCAGATTTGCGCGGAGACGGAAGGAAAATCGAGCGATACTCAGCAGTACTTACCGTTTGTTACGAAAATGTGATTCGTGACGACGATATTCGCACGTGACTTGTAACGTGACACGATTGAGGATCGCGTCTGTCCGGCCGTTTGAACTTGCGTGTCTGTTGACGTCGCACAGATCTTGTCCCGGCATGTGTTCACGAGATCGAATCTCGAATTCTCAACAGTGGTTTCCCCTAGAAAGCGGGATCTCCTGCGCATGTGTCACTTCTACCCGACATACAAGAGGGAATTCGAGAGTTTGGAAAATGTTCTATCAGGAGTCTTATTTTCAAAAAAATATTGCATATGAATGAAACTGAAATTTCAAGGGTAATTTCCCATGGTAATTTTTCTTAGAATTTTTTATATAATTTTTCAGATTTTTTTCATAATTTTTGAATTTTGTAAATTTCTAAAAAATTTAGTGGATTTTTAAATGCAAATTGAAACACTTTTCAGAAATGTCGAGAAAATCTATGATTTTTCTAGAATCTTTTTTTATATATGAATTCTCTCTGAAATATATCTAAGATTTTAAAAATTTTTCATTCCATTTTGAAAAAAATCTTATACAGTGTAAAAAAAGTTTGGAGTATTTTTTTGGAGAGTATAAAATAAGAAATCTTAGAATATATTTCAGAATTCATATATATAAAAAATTCTAAGAAAAATTTTTATCAGGGATGTTATGTATATTATATATTTTCATATACATGTAGATTTATGAATATAGGTTTGCATACAGCTGAACTTTATGTATCTTTTTATCTTCTGTCAATAGGCCTGTTTTTTTTAGCTGAACTTTTGCACTAGTTTATCTTTTTTTCTTTTCTCTTCGGGAGGAAGATATATTAAATAAAAAAAAATATAGACAGACATAGTGCAGTTGCAAATGATAAATATAAACTATTATAAACAATAATCATAAAATCTGAATGAATTTAGACAGAAATTTCGAATAGATAATGATAGAATTGCAATTTACTTGGGATGTTACGTCACTCCACATAAAAATAGTTGAGTTATAATTGATAGGTCTTGGATTCGATCTCTCATCCTACAAATTTTATAATTTAAAACAATCTTTGATTCTTCAGGATTAGGGTTGGACAATAAATGGTTGAATAGTGGATAGTTGCACTTGGTAACTCATTTCCGATTATAATTTCATAGTTAGTCAATTTTCAATGACTAATAATAAGCTCAATTTTCAGGACTGTTTGAATAGATTTTTTTCCTTCACCAGCAGTTGTATAATTATTATTATCAAACTCCTTGGACTGCATAAAAATCTTTACCAGATCTGGGCATCTAAAAACAAAATTTCTTAATAATCATAGTATCGCACTTCTATAAATAAAGCTTTATCTTTTTATTTGTATAGAAATCCCCCTTATTGAGAGAGGTCAAGGCTAGACTTGAGCTATGGAATCATAGGATAAATTTACTTTATTTGCATATGTAGTACATAGTATTATATTGCATTTTTTTACAATTTGATGGTGGAAAAAAAATAAAATTATGTACATAATGCTAATAAAATTTCATAATACCAAAATTATTAAATATATAAAAAATATTTCATTCTATACAATAATCTATACATAATTCTACTTTAGGTAAATTATGAGGTTTTTACAAGAACAAAGGGCTCTTAATTTAAAAAACAATATCAAGAATATAGGGCACATAAGAGTCAAATATAACAAAAAATTTTGAAACATAAAAACTCAAATTAGAAGTATACATAATACTCTGTAATTAAGAATCATATATATATATATA